ACATATACTTATATATACATACATACACACATACACAGATATATAAACATATACTTTCCCTAACAAATTCTTCTCCTGATCTTTTTTTATGTTTGTGCGTAGCTCTTATTTCCTATCCCTCCTGACTCCTCTCCTTCACTTCTGCCCACTACCTTGCTTTTCTATTACTTGATCTACCCTCCCTCCAAGGATCCCTTCCCATTCCCATAAATCTAAACACCCTTCTATACTCCCTCAACCTATTTCTTCACCCTCCTCTCTAGAGATCCCTCCCTTATCCTTTTCCCCCTCCTTATCTCCTTAATGTTTTATTTTTTTCTGAATTTAGGAGACTTCTATACTCTTCTAGATACATATTCCCAGCGAAAGTAGGTTACGAGAACTAACAGCCCTCCTCCCGCATCTAATTCTTCTGTCAGTTCTTCCTCTTATACCTCATTTTAGCTGTTCCTAAGCAGTTTTATTTTTTAAAGTCACATCATACTCAAGTGTACTCTAATATTCCTTCCAAACTATTAGCTTCATTTCTTAATGGATTTCCAGGAGTGATTGGAATGATCTAAGTCCCAAAATGGAATCCAAAATGTTACTCTTTCCTCCATTTATTAAAGTAAAAATGGTATTTGCCAATGCCAAGTCTGTTCTAGCCTTTGGTACCAGTATGTCTCCATGTCAGTTTTGGACTGATAATGTTTAGAAACACTTCTTCCACCCATACTAGATATGTGATGGCAATAATTTTTAACTTTATTTAAATTTTTTTTTTCCAGTTACATCTAAAAATAATTTTTTATCATTAAAAAATTCTCCCCCTCCTTTTCTTCCCTCCTCATTGGGAAGGCAAGCAATTTGATATAGGTTATACATGTGTAGTCATTCAAAACATATTTCTATATTAGTATGATCGTAAATTTTGAAATGTATGTCATGAGATAAAAAGGTTAGAAAGCTCTGGCTTAGCATGTTCTCACATACCAGGTTTTTGATGAATGTTGCTAATTGATTGGTAGTTTGCTTATTAGTATTCAAGCAAGGCATGGAAATTCCTATTATTCTATGTAGAGGAGAGGGAATCTGCTTTGTAATTCCTATTTTCAGGATCTAACAATGGTGATTTCAGAATAAGGAAGTATTTTGCATTTATTTGCTTTTGTTATTTATTACAGATGTATCAGAGAGTTATAATAACTCAAATTCCCTAAAAACAAGACCAGTGTACCCTAGACTTCATATCAGGATATGGATAACCAGCATCCTGGTGTAGTGGATAGAAAGCTGGTTCCAAGACCTGCCTGTCACATACTAGCTGTGTGACACTGGACAAATCACTTAACTTCTCACTGCCCAGGAAACTCTAGGACAATTAACTTGCAAGAACAGCTGCCAATCTTCACTGATAAAAGGGGTTTCATATACCAAAGAAATCACAGGTCTGGATGAAACAACAGTGATAACAAAAACAAAACAAAATCCAGAATTCTTATTTCCCAAACAACTAAAAAAGCTTACCCATACATACTTATTGCATAAAGTTTTATCTCTTAGGCCTTTAATTCATTATCAGTAAAAAAGAAAAGTCTGACTAGACAAGTTCTAACGTCTCTTCCAATTCTAAAATTTTGTGGGTTTAAGAAACACTTTTTTTTCTTGGTTTATCCAAAATAACGTTTAATAGAGCCTTAGTCTGGCATTCAATCCTGGGCAACACAATGTGGTTTGGCCATATTGTTGGGCTGGTAATGGATCTCTGGGAATGAAGGCTTATCAGACTTCCTGACCTTTGTTTATCCAAATCTTCTCTGTCCTTACATGACTCCTTGCCCTTAAACTCCCTCTGATGCTCTTTAAGCCTTAAGAGGTAATCCTTTGGACAATAGGTAGAAGAATTTGGTGGATGGTACAGTATCTTGGCTGTTCTAACTTGAAGTAGAGTTGCATGGCTAAAACTAAAATTGCTCTAGGTTCCATTTTTTTGGTCTAAAGACTATAGAACTATTCACTCTCAAAACACATTCATTCACGTGTAAAAAAAATTTCACACATTGGCATATGGTAGTTCATGAGTTTGATTTATTCTATGATTAACCAATTAGTCAAGGAATAAATATTTATTACTTGCATACTATATTCCAGCACTATGCTGAGTAAGGGCTGGGGAGACAAAGAAGGGCAAAAACAATCTCTGATTTCAAGACTTACATTTTAATAAAAAAAAATGTACATACAAGATGCAGAATAGATAGGAGGTAACTTTAGAGAAGGATCTAGCAACTGGGGAGACTAGAAAAGGCCTTCTGCATAAGGTGGCTTTTGAGCTGAATCTTTTAGGAAACCAGGAGATTGCAAGGGGTAGAAGTGAGAATATCAAGAATGGGAGACTACCAGGGTAAAGGCATGGAGAGAGAGTGCTGTGTATGAGAGAAACAGCAAGTAGGTCAATATGGCTGACTCAGAGTCTCTGTCAAGAACTAGTAGCTCAAGGAATATCAATGGCACTTCAGATTGGCAAAGTCTTTGATCTAAACTTAATCCAGACTCCTAGAAGTTCAGATATTGATATATTAAAAATAAGTTACTATTGATATCTTTTGTTTCCTACTTCATCCTAGTTATCTCCAGTATCCTTCCTCTCCCTGCTCCCAGAAAGCCATCCCATATAACAAAGTCTTTTTTAAAAGAGGAAAACAAATTATCGTAACTTATCAATACATTGGAAAAGTCTGAAAACATGTACAATGTGTAATACCTGTGGACCTCCCACCTCCAAAGGGGTGGGTTGGGGATGTCTTCTAATATTTCTTCATTCTAATCAAGCTTGGTCTTTATAATTTGGTTACATTAAAGTCATGGGAGTTGTAATTTATTTTTTGTCTGTCTTTAATATTGTTTTCTTTTTAAGTTATGATTCCACTTCTACCTTTTCTACTGTAAATAATGTAAGGGCTGTAAATGTTCCTTCAATTACTTTAGCTTATTCTCTTGTAAGGTGGCCTTATTCCTAATTGTTCCTTTCCATCCGTCCCCAATCCCTTCCTTCTATTCCCTGGGGTTTTTGCTTATTAGCTCCTTTTTCTTTCCTGCTTTTACTTGGTTATTTAATTCTCTCCTCCTTTTATTCTTCTTAGTTAGTCAAGTAGGTTCCCTCTTCCTCTCCTTCCATTCAACTAATCCTGTTCATAAGTTTTAGAAATTTCATTTTTTGCACCCCATTTTCAGAGAGAGTTTCTCTCTTTTTCTGTCTACTCTAGACCCTCCATCTCTGATTGATGACCCCTATAATTATCTAGTCTCTTTCTATTCTCTGTATTTCTCATGTATCAAAACATCCAAGGTATTGGGCTCTCCCCTCTAAACAGTTTCTGCCACTGCCTTGTTGAGCTTGCTCCTCAGATTCCTTTTTTCCATTGTGCCTTACTCCCAGAACAAAGCCAATTCTTGCAGATGACGTGGCCCTAAGTTGGGAACTCCTCCCCTCACATCTTTGATTTATGTAGCCCTACACTGTTCTATGCCTTCTCCTGGTTATCTTCTTTTGCCTCAAAATCTCTCCTCTGGGACCCTTCTTCCCACACTCTTTGGTTCCAGTTGCTTCAAGGAGTTCTACCCCACAAGGTAGAACAAGTGGCATGTTTCAAGTTCCAAATCCCTCAGACTACACTCAGCCCACAACCCTGTCTGCCTTCACAAAACAACTTTCTTCACCCATAGGAAACTTCTTTAATGGAACCTCTTTCACCTAGGAAGGAGCAAGGCCTCCTTCCTCCCCCAACTCTTCAATCCTTCCTCCCTCCTCCTCACCCCTTCCCTTGCAGACTTTTCTCTTACTAGAACCACAGGAACTACCCTCCCTCCTCATTACTTGCTCTTGATTTAACCCATGCATATCACACACTCCTTTCAACCCCCTGCTCCCCTCCCTTCCTTTCATTCACCCTCCCATTTTGTAATGGCCCACAAAACAAAAACAAAATGAAACAAAACACTGATTCGTCTGTAGGCAGGGCTTCGCCAGGTTCTTTCCATAATGTAGAGCATTATTAATGTAGGCTTGCCTCTTCACTGTTAACCTCCATCTGACTTCTGCCTTCACTGCTGTCTCTTTGTGTACATTTAGAAAGAAGTCTCTTACTGGTTTCTTTGCTGTTCCCCTGTTGCTATTGCTGGCCTTGACTGTGAGGAAACTGAGACAGAGAGAAGTTAAATGACTTGCCTAGGGTCACAATCTGAGTTGGGATTTGAAATTAGGTCTTCCTGACTCTAGGCCTAGCACTCTATCCACTGTGCCACCTAGCTGCTTTTAAAGGCAGTGAAAGGAAGAGGCAGGGAATTCTCTCAGAGGATATCTTCAAGGACACTGGATGACCAATTGTCATCACTTGTCAGGTATCATTTAGAAGGGTCTCCTGCTCAGGCAGAATTTCAATTAAATGATATCTGAGGTCCTTTCCATGTATTTGTAAAGACTATGTATAAGAAAACACAAATTCATAGTCAGCCTTATGGGTGGGTGTTAGTCCTATTCCTCAACACTGTTTATGAATGGTTTCTACAATTTTTTTCCTTAACTAGGTGCTGGTTCAGAGATATGGAACTATCATTTTAACTGGATGAGTTGGGGACAAGTCAGTTCTCATTTTTGTCAACAAATTCTGGGCTGCAAGTCAGGCCACTCTGTGTAGGATTGGAGGTAAATTTAGCCCTTAATGCAATCTTGATGGCCAAATTAATTCCTGCTGCTTTGTAGAATAAGACACTTGTGGGACAAAGTATATTAATTCACTCCAAAGTAATCTATTGTATCTGATTTTTCCTGAGAAATATTAGATCAGAACCTAGGGATAGTAAATGTTGTCTTTAAATCATGACAGGAAAACCAATTAGTTCTCCTCTACCAGATACAAAATTCATAAGCTCTAGGGTCTCTACGAGTGGGGATTCAGAATAAGTACAAATGAGACTTATAGCCTCAAAAAACAAAACAAAACAAAACAAAACTCAAATTGGCATGTTTAAAGTGGCATGTTTATTAAACTCATGACAGATTCTCACAACAGCAACAAATGTCATTTTGCTACATCAAATTTCCCTTACTAAGGAAAAAAAAATGATAACCTCACATAGGGTTGATGGATTCGAGCAATTTTTTTTCCCCTTGGCTATCTATGATAAAAACAGTCACTCCATTTCCTGCTCCTCAGTGCTACCTTCTTTCATTTCCCTCATTTCCTTTCTTGCCTTATGTCCCCGAAATGCTGCCTGGATTTTGACGGCAGCAGCAGCAGCCTCTTCCTCTTCATCAGTAGTAGTTTCCTCCTTCATTAAAGTAGAAGAGAATGAAAAGATTTTAAACACTCCATATTTGTGATACATTAAAAATGGATGTAAAAGTTACAGCAACTTGAAAATGCAACAACTAAAGAACTGTTGCCTCCTGAGGGAATTTTCTATATTGTCTTGCCATTTATACACCAAATGGAAAATGCCCAAAGAGCAGGCATTTTCTTTTGTAGCTTTTAAAAATATCTTTGTGACAAAAACAAATCATTCCTAAGTTATATGTGCATTTTTTCAAAATAGTTCTGAAGTAATACTTTTTGGAGAAATATGTAATGATAATTGAAGCTTGGTATAAATTTCAGACAGAATAGTAAACATTTCATTGTTTCATAAGCAACACAGTTGTACTTTTAGGATATGAAGTTCTTAATTTGCTAATCAAACCCATAAAATAACCTTTATTTTTTTTTAAAATATATTTATTTTATTTCATTTTTTCTTACATTTTGAGTTCTGAGTTGTCTGCCTCCCTCCCAACCCCCACATTTGAGAAGGTCAATATTTGATATAGATATATATGTGGAACCATACAATACAAACCTCCATATATCAGGTCTTTCTCTGGAGGTGGATAGCACTTTACTTCATTAAATCCTTTGTAGTTGATTTGCACATTCAAATTATTCAGAATAGCTTAGTTATTCACAATTACTCTTCCAATAATGTTGTTATTACTGTAATACAATGTTCTCTTGGTTCTGCTTGTTTCACTCTGTATTATTTCATGCAAGTCTCTCAATGTTTTTCTAAAATTAATCTGCTCATCATTTCTTAAAGCACAGTAGTATTCCATCACAATCGTATACCACAACTTATTCAGCCATTTCCCAATTGATGGACATCCCTTCAATTTCTAGTTCTTTGCTACCACAAGAAAGTTGATTTAAAGTATTTTAGAACATATATGTTCTTTTTATTTTTCCCTGATCACCTTGGAAAAAGACCTAATAGTGGTATTGCTGAGTCCAAAGATCTACACAAAATTCTTTGGATATAATTTCAGATTGCTCTCCAAAATGGTTGGATCAGTTCACAGTTCTACCAGCAGTGTTAGAATCCCAATTTTTCCATATCCCCTCCAATATTTGTCATTTTCCCTTTCTACCATTATAACCAATCTGACAGATATGAGATGGTACCTCAATGTTGTTTTAATTTGCATTTCTCTAATCAATAATGATTTAGAGCATTTTTCACATGGCTCTTTCTTCTCCCAAAGACTGCCTATTCATATCCTTCGACCATTTATCAACTGAGGAATGACTCATTCTTATAAATTTGACTCATTCTCTACATAATTTTGAGATATGAAGCATTCATTGAAGAAACTATAAAATCTCTCTCCTGCCCCAATATTTTGCTTTCCTTTTATTTTGGCTACATTGGCTTTATTTGTACAAAACCTTTTTAATTTAATGTAATTAAAATTGTCCATTTTACATCTCATGATGCTATCTCTTGTTTATTCATAAATTCTTCTCCAATACATAAATATGATAGGTAATATGTTCCATGCTCTTGTAATTTGCTTATGATATCTCCATTTATGTCTAGGTCATGTTCCATTTTGACTATATCTTGATAAATGATGTAAGATACTGGTCTATACCTAGTTTCTGTCAGACTTGCTTTCCAGTTTCCCCAGTAATTTTTGCCAAATAGTGAGTTCTTATCCCAAAAGCATACATCTTTAAAAAGATATTTTATTTTTCCCAATTACATATAAAAACAATTCTTTTTTTAAGTTCCAAATTCTATCTCTCCTTCCCTCCCTTTTCCCCTCTCTGAGATGGTAAGCAATCTGATTGATATAGATTATAAATGTGCAAATCATGTAAAATATATTCCCATATCCGTCATTTTGAGGAAGAAAACTTGAACTAAGGAAAAAGAAAGAAAGTGAAAAATAGTATGCTTCAGTCTGTATTCAGATGCCATCAGTTCTTTCTCTGGAGCTAGATAGCATTTTTCATCATGAGTCCTTCGGGATTGTCTTGGATCATTGTATTGCTGAGAATACCTAAGTCGTTCATAATTGTTCATTATACAATATTGCTGTAACTATGTACAATGTTCTCCTGTTCTGTTCACTCCACTCCGCATCAGTTCATATAAATCTTGCCAGGTTTTGCTGAAATCATCCTGCTCATCATTTCTCACAAAACAACATTCCATTTCAATCATATACCACAACTTGTGCATCCATTTCCCAATTGGTGGGCATTCCCTTCAATTTCCAAGTCTTAGATACCACAAAAAGAGATGCTATCAATGTTTTTATATAAATAGGTCCCTTTTCCCTCCAAAAGCTTAGATCTTGACTTTTATAAAAAATAAGGTCACTATAATCGTTTACCACTGTGTATGGTATGTCTACTCTATTCCACTGATTTATCATTCTATTTCTTAGCCAGTACCAGATAGTTTTGATAATTATTGCCTCATAATACAGTTTAAGATCTGGTACTGCTAGAGCTGCTTCCTTTACATTTTTTTTTCCATTAATTCCTTTGCTATTCTTGACCTTTTGCCCTTCCAAACAAAATTTATCAATTTTTTTTAGCTCAATAAAATAAGTTTTGGCAGTTTAATTGAGATGACAATGAATAAGTAGATTAGTTTAGGTACAAGTGTCATTTTTATTATATTGGCTCAGCCCACCCATGAGCAATGGACATTTCTCCAATTTGTTTAAAAAGTATTTTACAATTATGTTCATATATTTCCTAGGTTTGTCTTGGCAGGCTTACTTCTAAGGGATTTTATATTGTCTATGGTTATTTTAAATGAAATTTCTCTTACTATCTCCTCTTGCAGGGATTAATGATATAAAGAAATGCTGACGATTTACGCAGGTTTACTTTATATCCTGCTACTTTGCTAAAACTATTGACTGATTCAACCAATTTTTTAGTTGAATCTCTAGGATTTTCCAAGTATATCATCAATATCATCTGCAAAAGAGATATTTTTTTCCTCACTGCCCATTCTGATTCCTTTAATTTCTTTTTCTTCTTTTATTGCTATTACTAGCATTTCTAGTGTAATACTGAATAATATTGGTGATAATGGGCATCCTTGTTTTGCTCCTGATCTTACTTGTGAAGGCTTCTAGCTTATCCCTATTACAGATAATGCTTGCTGATGGGTTTTAGGTAGATGTTTCTTATAATTTTAAAGAAAAATATAGAGCATAGGCCCTGGAGTTTGGAGGACTGAGTTCAAATCTGGCGTCAGACACACGATTCTCACTAGCTGTCACTTAACCTGACTGCCTCACCAAAAAAAAAAATTAAGTTTGCAAGAAAGAGCCATTTATACCTATGCTTTCAAGTGTTTTTTTTTAAATAGGAATGAGCGTTGTACTTTGTCAAAAGCTTTTTCTGCATCTATTGACATAATCATATGATTTTTTGTTACTTTTGTTATTGATATATTAATTATATTAATAGTTTTCCTTACATTGAACTATGTCTACATTCTCACTTGGTCACAATATGTAATCTTTATAATATGTTGTTGTAGTCTCCTAGTGAGTATTTTATTTAGGATTTTACATCAATATTCATTAGAAAAACTGGTCTATAATTTTCTTTCTGTTTTTGCTCTTCTTGGTTTAGGTATCAGCACCAAATTTATGCTGTAAAAGGAATTTTGTAGGACTCCTTCCTTGCCTATTATTCCAAATAATTTATTTAATATTAGAATTAGTTGATCTTTAAATGTTTGGTAGAATCCATTTTTTAAAAAAAGAGAATGAACAAATTTATGGAAGGATGGAAATGTGATTTTTTAAATTAAAAGACAGAACATGAAAATTTTAGACTTTCAGTTTTCTCTCCAAAAGTAAATAAAGTTAGAATTTATTTACTTCTGTTGTTACTGTTTTTAAACAACCAACATGAAGACATCAAGAAAATCCTCTATATTAGCCTCTACATTGGGATTCCCAGATTGAAGGTGAATCCCAAAGGGCTCCCAGAGAGAGAAAAACTTGTTTTAAAATCAGGAAACAATAGAAAAGAAAGTAAAATTTAATGTTTCTGTGAAGGCTATGATAAGTTAGGGTGAAAAAACAGAAGAAATGAACTTAGTCTTTGAATGATTTGAAAGGAAATAGAGAAAAAATTACATTGGAGCCCTTCAGAAAATTAGTCTCCATCGGACACTAATTTTTTAAGTAGAACAATTCCTGTTAGCTCTAATTAATCAAAATTGTGTTTTTAATAAAATTAAATACTCTAAATTAAGAAATTATCATGCTATAAATTAAAGGATACTTCTAACATAAGTCATTGCTGACTTGACAATGAGGCAAGTTTTATTACAGATCATAAAGGATCACAGAGGATAACAATTTGCTTTATTATCAAAGAGTGAAATTGGTATAGAGTCATTAAGGTAGGCTATATGTTATATCAAAACTATAATAGTATCTTTAAATGTCAAAGGATTTATATAAGTGTGCTTTCAAAAGGCACTCTTGTTTAATTTACATTTAACTGAACCAATGTGAAATATTCACAATTACATCCCAACATTTGTAGTCTCATTATCACTTTTCTTTCTTTTTAAAATTTTGCTTTTTTATTTAATTTTATTTATTTTTTGGTTACATGGCAAGTTCTGAACTGTCTCCCTCCTTCCTTCCCTCCCTACCCTGCACTAGAAGTCACCATTTGACACACATATATAAATATATATGTAAAACCATACTATGCATATTTCTATTTATCAGTTCTTTCTCTGGAGGTGGTTAGTATCCTTCTTCATAGGTCCTTTGTAGTTGATCTGAGTATTTATAATCCTCAGAATAACTTAGTTATTTCATAGTAATTTGTCAAACTGTTACTGTGATAGAATTCACTTCTAAATCCATCTGGTCTTGATTCTTTTTTCTTAGGAAGCTCATTTATGGCCTGTTCAATTTCTTTTTCTAAAATAAGTTTATTTAGATATTCTATTTCCTTTTTGGT